ATATATTTCAAAAGATGTCCTCATTTGCTTGGCCATGTGTAATTTTTTCAATGAAATTTACTTTTGGGTTACTAAGCGCTAAAGTCACCTTCAAACCATCTTGACGAGCTTCCTTGAGTTTGTTGAGTGAGTTGTAATTCCACCTAGCAAATTTGTCATGTTTTCCATCCCAACTCTCTATTTTGAATTCAATGGTCGAGGATTTATTTGTCTAATAATTTTTTTAAAATTCAAGTTATTTTTCACTGGTTCAGATTTGTTGCTCGAAGAATAACTCTCAACATATTTGATTTTGCTTGACCTTCATCTAACTCGAAAGCTTGTTATTTTTGTACTTTTTGTAAATCATTTGACCTAAAATAATCAAAAGATAATAAAACAAAATTATTACATATTTTCATGGCAATTTTTTAAGTTACTTCGTGTGCAAGTAACCTGATAATTGATAACTGTGTGAATATAATAATAATAAATAAGTAAACTAAACACTTATTAATTGTTAATTATGTATATATTGTTTAAGTTGTATTGGAGTTGGGTGCCCATTATTTATTTTGTAATTTTAAATGTTCAAACAAAGTGGTAAATGCACAAAATGATAAGTCGTGAAGTATGGTAGTATGAATCTAGAAATAGTAAAGAACAAAAGTTTTCAACATCATAAAATATACAAAGATCCACCGTGTGTAATGTAAAACAACAATGTTATTCTTATACCATCCCTTATATCTACGTGGTATTCACTGTTCATAAATACATTAAACAGTGGCATAAATATTAAAAATAATTTTTAATAATAAAATAAAATTATTTAAAAGAATATAAAATTTAGATTAATAAAATTATAAATTTAATTAATCACACAATTTTATATTAATATCTTTTTAATGAAAAAAATAATTAAAAATAATTAAAATATTATATTATTAAAATATTTTACTCATCATATTGAAGATAAATATGATATTCTAACATCGACTTGAATCCACAAATTAATAGCAAACAAAAGAGTGAGAATTTAATGCATCGCTGTATTTGCATTTATTTTATACAAAATTTTAGACTGAGCTTACCCCACCTATGTGTGTGGCTTAGCTTATGGTTACGTTACATCTACATCCATCTTTCGTTAATCATCAAATAAAAAAAATCAATTTCTTACTATTTGTTGAAATATACATAAAATTTAGAAATATTCGGATGAAACGATAAGATACCGTTTAAATCTGAGCATGCAAAAAAAAAAAAGTGAATTAGTATAATGCACTTCTTGAAACTCTAACCATGTGGAGTTCTAACAACTTTAATTAAGAACACATGTATCATCTAGCACCGCATTGAAAGAAAAATTACCTTGTTGCAAAATTGAAGATAACAAAATCAAATATTTTATTTTTACACTAAAATTTAACACCAATACTCAGGTCATGTTTACCGTCTTTATATGTTAAATAGTGTTTTTATAAATTTTTTAATAAAGTATATTATTTTCAATAAAAAAAATTTTAAAATATAAATATAAAATTAAACTATTAATTAATTTCATTATTATCATAATCACAAAATTAAATATTATTAATCACTTATTTTATTAGAAAAATCTTAAATCCTCATTGATTAGAGATATACCAAATTAAGAAATATAGTTAGATTTAATTCAAATTTATAAAATTGATTTAAAAGTTGAAGATAGTTCCTATTTATAAGTAATATTTAAGTATATATCGTTAGATGTGAGACTTTTAACATATTTTATTTTATTAATCAATGAAATAAATAATATTAACCATTCTTGAACATTAAATTATAAAATATTTTATCAATCTTTACTCTCTATTAGTCATATTTATTTATTACTTAATTTTTTTATATTTAAAAACTCATTAATTTAATTATTAATTGTATTAATTAATTTTATATATGTTATTAATCGAATTTAATTTATTACGTAAGACTTTATTTTTTAAAATTAAAACACTCAATAATAATATTACAAATTATAGTAATTGAATTTATTATATCTAATTAATCAACTTTATTTTCTCATTTTAGATCTAGATCACTTTTTAATCAAAATACACATTAACCAAATTATAAATTATATTAACTAAATTTTTATACATTATTAATCAGCATCATTTTAAAAAGAAAAAATGAAATAATATAAAAAACTCCAAATTATAAATATTATTGTTTATCATATTTGGTATAAGTATAAGAATTTAATGTCAAAATTATTTCTAAAAGAAAAACTTTTAGTGAATATATAAATCATATTTAATCCTACAATCAAATTTTTCATAGACATAGATACAATATAAAAAAAAATTCTTTCTTTTTTTCATAAAATAATTTAGGGTTAATACCTATTTTCACCCCTGATATATGGGGTGTATTTGAAAAATCTCTCTGCCAAAAAAAAGTTTCAATTGTTACCTTGACAAATTTTAAAAGTTTCAGTTTTTACCTTGAGGATGCCACATCACCTAAAAGGCTGATATTTTTGTTATAATTTTAATGACATGGCTTGATTAGTTGTCATTTTTAATTAATTTTTAATTTTCAACATGAATCGAACCATGGACATACTGTCTGCAGTGAATGCTTCTTACCACTAGACCAATGCATTTTCTTTGTTACATATATGCATCAATAAATATTCATATCATTAACATATTAATTACAATTATCAATAAATTTTCTTAACTAGTTGGTTTAAATAATTTTTAAAAAAATATTTTACATATTTTATCTTTTTACTGTAACTTTTTTTAAATTTTAAATTTTCAAAAATCACTTAACTTTAAAATTATTTTAAATTTAAAATTACTTTAAATATTTTTTCGTAAATAAAACTGATTGTTTTTAATATTTTGATTTTATATTTAAGTTAGTTGATGTTAAAATTAATCTTTTAATTTTAAAAAAATAATTTGAAAAATTTTATAATAATTATTTAAAAGAAAATAACTTTTTAAAGCTAAACAATTTTTAAAAAAAACTTTTTAAATTATTTAACAATTTTTAAAAAAAACTTTTTAAATTATTTAAAGATTTAAAAAGTTTTTACTGTAACTTTTTAAAAAAAATTTCGTAAATAAATCTTTAAATTTTTTCGTAAATAAATTTTTTAACAATTTTCGTTAATAATTTATTTACTGTAACTTTAAACAATTTTTTCAAAAAGATTTATTAAATAAATTTTCAAAAATCTTTTTAAATTATTTAAAGATTTATTTAAAAATTTACGAAAAAATTTACTGTAATTTTCAAAAAGAATTATTAAATAATTTATTTACTGTAACTTTAAATAATTTACGAAAAAAAATTTAAAAAGTTACAGTAAAAACTTTTTAAATCTTTAAATAATTTAAAAAGTTTTTTTTTAAAATTGTTAAATAAAAAAAGTTAAGAAAAAATATGCTAATGATATGAATTTAAAAATTACAGTTAAAATTGTTAAATAAAAAAAGTTAAAAAAAGTTACAGTAAAAAGATAAAATATGTAAAACATTTTTTTAAAAATTATTTAAACCAACTAGTTAAGAAAATTTATTGATAATTGTAATTAATATGTTAATGATATGAATATTTATTGATGCATATATGTAACAAAGAAAATGTATTGGTCTAGTGGTAAGAAGCGTTCACTGTAGACAGTATGTCCATTTCAGGACGTTTTAGTAAGTCCTCATGTCCATGAACATGGCATGGGGGTAGCTTATTGCTCTGGTGACCACCTTCGAATTGACCCGAACACCTCCAACGGTGGTGCTACCTACCTCTCAATGGTGGGATGACACTACCTCAAAGACATTTACACACTTTGCAAAAAGCTTTAAAAAAAAAAAAATTTCAAACACCACCTTCGAATTGACCCGAATTTTTCTGTGCTTTTGTCCTTTCTTTATTGGAGAAAATAAAAGACGGTGGCGACAGTCAGTTCCAGATCCACCGATCACAGAACTTTCTTAGGTGATGTGGCATCCTCAAGATAAAAAATGAAACTTTTAAAATTTATTAAGGTAACAATTGGAACTTTTTTTTGGCAAGGAGGTTTTTCAAATACACTCCATATGTCAGGGGTGAAAATAGATATTAACCCAATAATTTATCACAAGCATTCTATTGCCGCCTTAAAAATACATATCACATGTGAGCCGTGGCCGATGAATAAAGAAAAGATAATATTTAGTATTATAATTTCGAGAATTGGCTTGAAATTTGTTCACTTATGTGAGGGTGTAAGAAGTTGTGTCTTTCATATAGTAACATAGTGGATCTATTTTCATATATTATTAATAACCTTCTGTTTGTTCCAGATAAAAAGATATCTCAGCTACTTCTTAAAATTCTTAACAATTAGTATTAAAGTGTTCTGATCAAGTTGAACTTAAATATTTCTTTCTTCTTGTCGAGCTTTATCAAATTAGTTTAAAAATTATTATTATTATTATTATTATTATTATTATTATTATTATTATTATTATTATTATTATTATTATTATTATTATTATTATTATTATTATTATTATTATTATTATTATTATTATCATGATTACTATTATCATGATTATTATTATGATTATCATAATTATTATGATTATTATTATCATGATTACTATTATCATGATTATTATTATGATTATCATGATTATTATTATTATTATTATTATCATGATTACTATTATCATAATTATTATTATTATTATCATTATTATTATGATTATCATGATCATGATTATTATTATCATGATTATTATTATTATCATTATTATTATGATTATCATGATCATGATTATTATTATTATTATTATTATTATTATTATTATTATTATTATTATTATTATTATTATTATTATTATTATAGTGCAAGGGCCCATTTGATATTCAATATGTTGCTTAAGAAACTTAAAATATTATTCATTCAATATTATATAAAGGACAAGCCCATACATATCAAAAACATAAATTCATAGTTTTGTCATTTACAATAAGCTATGTTGGGTTCTACAACAATATCTTGTGCACTCTTTTTCTTTCTATTCATCATCTTCAAAATCCACCATAGAAGAAAATGTTGCAAATATCCCATCTTTAGAGATTATCCTTTTCTAGGCATGTTACCAACAATCCTTTGGAACTTATGGAATATTCATGATTTCATAACCAAAGAATTGAAAAAGCGCCATAGAGGCACTGCTGAGTTCTTGGGACCATGGTTTACCAACATGAACTATTTGATCACTAGTGATCCCATCAACGTGCATCACATGATGAGCAAGTGTTTTGACAACTATGTTAAAGGTTCTGAGTTTCGTGATATTTTTGAAGCCTTTGGAGATGGGATATTTGTCGCGGATTCGGAGACATGGAAATATAATAGGTCTCTTTTTCACTCCGTTTTCAAACAAAGAGGCTTTGAGCTTTTTCAAGAGAAAATCATTCAAAACAAGGTGGAAAGAAGCTTGATTCCTTTGTTGGATCATGTACAAGAACAAGAGTCGGTGGTGGATTTACAAGACGTATTCAATCGTTTCACGTTTGATAATATTTGTTCTGTAATTCTTGGATGTGATCCTAATTGTCTTTCCATTGAGTTTCCTGATGTTGCTTGTGAGAAGGCTTTTGACCAAATTGAAGAATGCATATTCTATAGGCATGCTACGCCAAAAACTTTTTGGATGTTTCAAAAGCTTCTTCAAGTTGGTCAAGAGAAAAAAATGACAAAAGCATATAAAGAGTTTGATCAATTTATATATGCAAATATAGAGTCCAAAAGAGAGGAACTAAAAAGAGGTGTAAAAAATAATGAAACGGTTGACTTGTTAACAACTTTCATGAAAGCAGAAAAAGGGTCACAAGTAGTTTTACACAATGATAAGTTTCTAAGAGATGTTGCTTTCAATCTATTTGTAGCTGGAAGAGATACTATCACTTCAGCACTTACATGGCTCTTTTATCTTATTGCTACACATCCTTTAGTAGAAGCCAAAATTCTTGAAGAGATTAAAGAAAACTTTGGGGCCATTGATATTGGAAAAAAACTAGGAGTTAATGAGGTGAAAAAACTAGTTTATCTTCATGGTGCTATATGTGAGGCTGTGAGACTTTATCCTCCTATACCTTTTGAGAGAAAGCAAGCAATCAAAGATGATATACTTCCAAGTGGTCACCTTGTTAATTCGGGTACAATTATACTGTTTTCTTTGTATTCGATGGGGAGATTTGAAGAGACATGGGGAAAAGATTGCTTGGATTTCAAGCCAGAGAGATGGATATCTGAGAGAGGAGGCATTGTTTATGAACCATCTTATAAGTTCTTTAGCTTTAATGCTGGACCTAGGACTTGTTTGGGAAAAGACTTATCGTTCATTCAAATTAAGATGGTAGCAGTTGCTATTTTGAGTAACTACAGTATCCAAGTAGTGAATGGTCATATTCCTATACCAAATCTTTCAATTGTACTTCTTATGAAGAATGGTTTGAAGGTTAGGATCAGAAAAAGAGAAAATTGATGGAGATATCCTTCTGACATATTTAGAAATTATTGTCTATTTATGTGTATTAGAAAACTATTAAGAGTCTGAATGTGTAGGTTCTAAAAGCTAGTTTTTAGTCTTCATTTTAAATCAATAAAAACTTCTGTTTGATAATTGTTTTTTATTAATTTATATGAGTTTTTTTTTTTAAATTCATTTTTGAGCTTAGAATTTTTAGCTGGTTATTTTCTCTTTTACTTTTTTTATTATTTTGACTAAAATTTATTTTTATCCTTTATAATTAACAATAATTTAAAATAACATATATACAATTTAAATATATAAATAAAAAGTTAAATTTTATATTTAAAATAATTATGAATCTCCTATTACAATTTTTCTTTGTCTCTATTATTCCATTTTCTTCTGTTCTTCTCTTCGCTTTCAACTTCGCTTTCTATCGCTCGACAAAATTTAAATATGTGTTAAATATATTTTAATATATATATATATATATATATATATATATATATATATATATATATATATATATATATATATATATATATATATATATATATATATATATATATATATATATATATATATATATATATATATATATATATATATATATATATATATATATATATATATATATATATATATATATATATATATAAAGTTTAATTTTAAATAAAATTTTCATATAAGAAAATTATATAATTGCTAAATTATTAATTAAAGATGATTTTTTATTAATTTATATTTATTAATTAGTGACGAAGGGTGCAGGTTTAAATCTGCTATATCTCATTTACTTACCTTTAAGATTTCAGCAGTTAAATATTTTTAAAAAATTATTATTATTATATGTGTCTTTTGATTGAAAGTGAAGCTTCTAGTCCATATGAGGCCATGGCAGTTTTTGGCTTTTTCTAGAATAATAATGTAAGAGAAGCTTCTTTTTTTTTCCTGTGATCTATTGTTGAATATTAATAATTAATATTTTTTAAAGGTGTTTGCAGTGAAGTTTAAACCGTTTTAATGTTAAAAGTTATCTAAATCGTAAATAAAAAAAATATATAATTTAATTTGATTCAATTGATTTTTAAAAATAAAATAAAATAAATATGATTTAGATTGATTCTATTTTTTAATAAATTATTAAGATATATATATATATATATATATATATATATATATATATATATATATATATATATATATATATATATATATATATATATATATATATATATATATATATATATATATAAAGAAAAATATAATGTTGTGTTTAATCCTTCGTACATTCATAAAATAAGTTTATAATTATCAAAAAAGATTTATAATTTAATATATAAATTTACGTCTAAGTTAAATTACATTCTTAAATAAATATTATATAAAAATATGATAAAATGTATTTTTGTTAATATAGTATTTATAAATGAATAATATTATAATTTTTGTTGATTCGTAAATTAAAATAAATATTCTATAAGAATATAATAAAATATATACATATATAGTACTTATAGTACTTGTTATTAAATGATAATTTAGTATTTGCTATATTTGAAAGTTTATCCACTTTTAGGGCTCATGTGACATTCTTATCTTTTGCTATCTTTGTGTATAAATAGGTGTACCTAGGTCTCATTAATATAATTCAATTCATTTTCAATTATTAGCAGCCGTCATCTTTATTTCTCTCTTCTTCCTCAATTTCATCACATTATAGCAACAAATTGGTATCTAGAGCTCTTGGTTATTATGAAATTCTGGGAAACACGAGTGAAAGTGAGCTGTGTGTTTGATTTTGGTTCTTGATTTCGGTTGAATCTTGAACAAAATATGAACAGAATCACACTTATTTCGTGGGTTTGGAAAACATTGAGTGAGATTTGAGATTTGTGCAAGGTTTAAGATGAGTGGACGCAGTAGTTTGAACACTAAACTTCCAATTTTTGATGGCAAAAGCTTGAACAGATGGATGATACAGACGTGTGTGTTGTTTGGTGCTCAAGATGTTCTGGATCTTATTATCAATGGTTATGTTCCAGTTGCAGCAGATGCTACCGAAGAACAAAGATCTGCAGAAAGATCTACGAGGAAGAGGGATCAGAAAGCTCTGTTCTATATCCATCAGTGTGTGGATGAAAGTGTGTTTGAGAAGATTGCTGATTCGACGACGTCGAAAGAGGCATGGGATATACTAGTAAGATGTTATGGTGGTGACGCATCAGTGAAAAAGGTGAAGCTTCAGTTCCTGCGAAAGCAATATGAGAATCTCAACATGAAGAACAGTGAGAAAGTTTCTGAGTACATCTCCAGAATGATTCTGATCACTAATGAGATGAAAGCTTGTCGAGAAACACTTTCTGAATAGGTAATCATAGAGAAGATTTTGAGGTCGCTTACTCCTCAGTTTGATTACATTGTTGTTTCTATTGAACATTCTAAAAATCTGGAAACCATGAGAATAGATGAGTTGCAAAGCAGTTTAGAAGCGCAGGAGTTGCGTCTGACTGAAAGAACTTCTTAGAGGGAAGTTGAGAAAGCTCTGAAGGCTTGCCTCAATGCTTTGTCTTTGCTACAATTTGCATAAATTGCTCCACAAACCAAACTTGTTTCATGCTGCAAACTATGTTGTCCAAGTTATTGTTGAGCAAAGTATGATATGCTACTTCCATACATTGCCACAACACTCAAAAACCCTGCTCAATTGCTGTCCTACAAAACCTTGTGATATGCTGCACCGCAAACCTGTCACAAAACCTGCATATGATGTCCTATACAGTCCAGAATCTGTCCAGAAAACCAGTCCAAAACTGCTCTATGCAGTCTGCTTCAACCTGCATCATAACAGCCACAAAATTGCACCAAAATGGCAAAAGAAAATTGTGTGGAAAAAGTATCAAAACAGTAGGCAAAAACAGTTCAAAATAACTTATTTAGTTTCCCTCCTAAACCTCAGTCAAGGATCTACAAAAGGGACTGTTTCATAAGACATAAAGGGGGATTGTTATTTTTTGGGAGAGAAAAAGAGAGAAGAGAAAAATAGAACTTTTGTTAAACTCTTCTCACTCATAAAATCCAGCTCATTCATAAAACTCAGCTCATCCATAAAACTCTGCTCATCTTCAACTCTGTTTTCACTCAAAAAACAGAAAAATCCTCAACCCATTGTTGTACGACCTTGCAAACTTTCCCCTAAATCAACTACCCAAACACCTCATATACATTACATAGAGATTGTTCTAACATAAGAATAGTTTCTGTAACACCTTTATCATCATCTTCCAAGCATAAACAAAAAATAGTACTTTGCACTTTTGACTGGGTTAGAGCGATTCTGGAACTTTGTCACACAGAGCAAGGATTTGAGTAGGTCCAAAGAGGAGCTCGGTCATTCATCGCTTCGCATCCGGGGATATCCATACGTATTCTAAAGTTTCTCTTCAAGAGGTATACTTTTTTTCAAACTGTAATATCTTTTTCCATACACTATTTTCTGTTCGTGTTCAAAAGATATGTAAAAGATAAATTAAAAAAAGGAAAACTCGGTAAAAAAGAGCCAAGACATGGGTTGACACGAGTGCCCGTGTCACAGGACACCGCCGTGTCAGACATACTGGAACTATACGCTAACAAAAATGTAGGTCAGGGGCTGACACGGGTGCCCGTGTCACAGAACACGGCCCGCGTCAGCTTAGCTGGTACAAAAAAGGAAAAAATGCGCATGGACCATTACAAGAAGCTGACACTGGTTCCCGTGTCATAGGACACAGACCGTGTCATACCAGACAACATAAATTTTGATTTTCTTTTTACCTTTTGCTTTTATTTTCATTCAACTTGGTTGTAATAATTAGGACTTTTTTTTTGCAACCCCCACTTGTACACTTGTATGCCCCATCCTTCAAAAAGCACGTAATAGCGTATGACCTTTATTTTCCGCATTTTTATTGCTTTCATAAATTTTAGTAATTAGGGTGTATGGCAAGCTAAAACCAACAAGTAGACCACCCTAATCAAAGACTAAATGCATGCAATCAAACACACCATTCGCACATGCACCTCTAGGATAATCTCACTTTGTTGCCTCGGAAAATAGTCATGTCCCTCTAATATGGGCGTTTTAGCAAAGACCCTTGATAAAGATCGTAGTCCCTCGATGACCCTCAATGTTGCCTTCGGTAAACGATCTAGTCCCTAAACGACATTGCTAAAACGTCCCATAGGTTGCCTTCTATGACTATGCAAACGTCTCACGCCTGTCCCTTCACATCCAATGATGGGGCTTCTTACCAAATCAATGGTAAGATAGCAACATCTAAAGGAGGAGGAAAAGAATATAAAGACCTTTTGAGTAGGTAGGATGCTCCTAGTTTCTCGCTTGCTCACAAGTAAAAAAAACATTTTCACACCAACACTTTCAATTGAAACATTTACAAAAGTTAAAACACTTTGTAACACATTCTTATAGAGACGAGAATCATTACAAAGACACTTTTCAAAATCACTTTCAAAAACACATTCCACAAACACCTCTTTGAAATATTTTTAAAACTAAACACTTTGTACGCATTCTTATAGAAACAAGAACCATTACAAAGACGTTTTCAAAATACTTTCAAAACCCACACCACAAGCAAATTTTCAAACAAAAGCAAGTGATCTAGCAAGAAACTAAGAGCCCATAGATAACTATGGATGAAAAGGGTGCTAATACCTTCCCTTTTCATAACCTAATCCCCGAACTCAAGAAAATAATCTCAAAGGTCTTTCCTGTTCTTTTCACCCTTTCCTTATTGGATAAAAGAAAAGTCGGTGGCGACTCTTGATATCCGCAACAATTACGGTCAAACGCAAAACACTCAAGTAAGTTCTCCCACCGTATTTCAGAACTGGCGACTCTGCTGAGGATTTGACTTAAAAGTGGGGTTACCTTAGTGCTAGATCACCTTTACTTGCTTTCCTTGTTGACTTGTTTGCTTTACCGTATGATTACTTGTTTAGGATTATTT